TTGTAGTCCTTTTAGGTTATAGATATATCAATTTCTTCTTTTCAATTTTCGCTGGGTTTTCCCCATATTTTTAATTTCTGTAGGATTATATCCAACAGTAAAGTATGGTATTCATAGGTATATAAAGCTATTTAAATATGACTAGAAATGTTTAAATTGTTAACAGATAGATCAATTTTTTCAAATTTTGCTGTTTTCCCTTTTTTTCAATTTCTTTAGGATTCATAATAGGTAGATAAAGATATTCAAATACAACGAAATGTTTTAATAGTTAACATAAGAAAACAAAAATGGCGCCCTCACATCAGGTGGAGTTTTCTCCGCTGTCTGCTTGTAGGTCGGCCATTTTTCCTGACTGGGGAGACGGAAGACTGAAGGGGTCTGGTTTCCGCCGGGTTTGCTTCAGTTTTTACCAACATTTTTTGAAACTTAAAAGAACATTGAAAAATAAACACATTTTTGTATTCTTGTTTCAGCCTGCAGATTTGCTTCATATACTGATATAATCTGATAATAATATACTGATAATAATTTTATATAATGTACCCGTAATTATAATTATATATGGCAATTTTTAATAGAGAACGTCTGTATGTCCGATGCACACAGTGACTAGTATATTGTATTTTTGTCTGTCCACCTTGCGTCCTCCTCTTGTTACCTAAACATGAGACAAAGGATTGTCCTAGGTTTTTAGCTATGTATTTAATATGTCATTCATCTTGTATGGAATAAAGATGATTTTAACCCCCTTATACAAGAAAGATGCCGACTCAGTTTTCTAGTTTGTTACCCAGGAACAACCCGGCATATCTCTGTACTCTGTATACACTACATGTAGTACTGTACGGGCTTTTTCAGTTTTGAATATCCAATTCTAAATACTGTAGATTCTTCATACACTGTAAATATAATATCAACAACCTGTTATATTTCAGTAGTCTATATAAGAACACTGTTAAACGCTACATGTAGTACTATACGAGGTGCCACTCCTGTGTAAATAAAGATATCATATGGGGTAACCTGTGGTTTTGTTGTCTGTATGAGCTGATAGTCCTTATTTTAACACTCTTTTAAAAGGAATTCTGAATATCACGTACGATTATAACTCGTAGAGAGTTAAAATCATCTCTATTTAGTTTTCACAAACACACAAGACGAATAGTTAAAAACACCTAGGTCAGTCCCTTATTGTGAGTTAAGGAACTCACGGGACGCAAGGTAAATATGCGTGTGTCGGACGATCTGGACACCGAAACTGCAGTTTCAATTCGACACCCAACACAAAAGACGTGTAGTTATGAGGAAATCCGCTAAGGGGCGCACCACGTCGGTCTCATGCTGTCCAACGAATTTGAATTGATTCAGATTGACGAAACAATCGGTCAGAAGGTCTTTACCACATTCTACTGACTCTTGTTGAAGATTTCTTCACATTTGCGACAGAAAAAAAAACTGCTAGTCTTCAACGGTGTGTCAAGTATACCATCCATAGCAGCATTGGTTTATTGATCAACTCCAACATACATACCTATACATGTACGCTATACAACAAAGAGAGAGCAGATCTTTATAATCTAATACAATCTATGTTCCCCTTCTTTATACATCTAAGCTGTACACTCAGATAAATTCATATTTCTAATGAGCTTAGACAAACCTTCTGTATTGAAACATACCTGTTCTTACCTTTTTACCATTACTAATAAACGAGAAGAAAACGAATTTACTTGATTGTAGCTACTTAACGATTTATGTATATAACGTTATCTGTATTCCATCCATTTGTTGTGACCTGTACTTAACCCAGTGGGTAAGGTCTTCATTCATTCCTTCATCCATCTTCGAGCACTTGTAGAACGGAAAAAGTACGAGTCATGTACGCGCCGAGATTGACTCATCTTACTTGTTGTATTCCTTGGCAGTAATGTAAAACATCAATGACTGCTGCTTTGTTGAAATCATCATTTTGTTACGCTTAAACAAGCGGCAGTGTGTAACATAAGGGTCATACAACAAGTCAATTTCCGATCATTTACTTACAAAGTGCCATTGAGTTAAACCAGCCCCAACCCATTACAATATTGCAAACGATAGATTTACATTTTTTATGCGTCTAGACAAACCCTGTATCAAAAACATGAACATTTTCCATTGTACAAAAAGCGAGAAGTTGACCACTCTGTATGGGCCCAGTAACTAGTATAGTACCCTTGCATGTTCCTTATGTATGTATGTCTAAGTCAAGTAGTGCATCCTTTGTCTCCACTTTTCTACATAGTCTTGACCTGTATCTAGCCCGTCGTGGCATGAATGTACAATAAAGGTATTTCATTTCAATATTACCAACCCCACCCCATTACAATATTAATTATAATGCCATTTAATTAGGGAGCGAAATGTTAGTTAGTTTTACAGCCAATAGTAATTTTTACAAATTCACCGTGATCAATATACAGCATACAAAATTACCACGTTTTTAAATTGAAAGGTTTGCAAATTCATGCCCGAGGGCTAATTTCAAGAACATGATAACAAAAATATACAGTAAAGATGATAATAAGTAATGCTAATGCTACTTTAGTTTTAGTTACATTTGTAGTTATTGCTGGGTTTGATTTCTTCTAACGTTGATTATATTGTTGAAGTACATTCCCTTTACATTCCATTTACAATCCTCCGACCAAAGATTTTACACAGAGTGCTCAACGAAAATCAAGCACAAGAAACATTTTTTTTAGTTTTAGAAAGCATACATTTACATGGCGCACATCAACATATTCCAATTTATACTATAAAATCAAGGCTCACACCAACCCAATTTTGGTCGGTTAATTATAAATAGTCTAGTGAAATACGATATTTACAGATGAAACATTTCGTTAAGAAACAGCAATGGGCTGTGCATTAACAACACCCCTGGTTACCGACTGAGAAGTTTATTCAACTCAATTTTACACAAAACATTAAAGTACACAAAACAGCCTCCAGTTTAGTTTCCGGTTTGATTCCAGAATTCCAGTTTAATTCCGGACTAATTCTCATATCTCAGCAACCTAACAATGTTACACACACAATGATTAAACCGGAATTCCAGAATTAAATTGAAGACTGAGTAGAAAAGTTCTTTGGTTACAACCATTTATTTTTCACGAGCCGACGTTTCGATGGCCGTCTGTCATCTTCATCAGGGCAATTCTGACTCAGAATTGACTCAGAATTGACTCAGAATTGACTCAGAATTGACTCAGAATTGACTCAAAATTGCCCTGATGAAGATGGCAGACGGTCATTGAAACGTCGGCTCGTGAAAAATAAATGGTTGTGACGAAAGAACTTTGCTATTCATTCGTTTACCAACCTGATGAAATTATTTACGGATGTAAACTGGAGGCTGTTACCAAAAAAAATACACGAGAAGCACATGAACCATCACGTCTTCACACACACCTGCTTGGTCAGCACAAACTTGTCCACATACACGGCAAAAACCAGGAAAACTAAGAAGAGAAACCCTGGAATTCCGGAATTAAACTGGAGGCTGTTACAAGAAAAAAAGAGAAGTGCGTGAACCATCACGTCTTCACACAGACCTGCTTGGACAGCACAAACTTGTCCACATACACGGCGAAAATCAGGAAAACTAGGAACAGAAACCCGCAGATAACCCCTATCGCCCGGCGCAGGTGGAAGCGGCTGCAGCAGAGCATGGTGAAGACGATCACGACGAAGACTGTGGTGGCGATGGAGGACTCGGACAGGCCGGCGGTGTGGACGGTGACGGGCTGGAACTGCGTCGTGGCGCTACGGATGAACCAGGGAAACCCGATACAGAACATCATGCAGAACACCAAGGCTCCTATCGCCGTGGAGACCGCCATGTCTCCCTCGCCTGTAGAACAACAGAACAACATACACAGAACGTTACGTACAGAACAACACACAGAACAACATACAGAACAGCATAAAGAACAGCATACAGAACATAGAAAATTACACAGAACAGCACACAGAACAGCACACAGAACAGCATACAGAACAGCAGATGGAACAGCAGATAGAACAGCAGACAGAACAACACACAGAACAGCAGGCAGAACAGCAGACAGAACATCAAGGCCCCGATAACAGTGGAGACTATAGAACAACAGAACATAGAACATTACACAGAACAGCATACAGAACAGAACATAGAACATTACACAGAACAGCAGATAGAACAGCAGACAGAGCAGACGTACCGTCCTTAGTTGACACTATCGCGCTGACGATGTCCGGCAGGCTGGTCCCGATGCCTAACGTCGTCAGCCCCATCAGATCGTCCGACATGCCGAACGTGTGACCTGACAAAGGACAGAGAAGACATCACAGTTTAGGGATCGGCTAGGCTCTAAGGCCCTGATCACAACATCAAACTGGAGTCTCAAGTACTGAAATATCTCAGAGACTCTTTAACTTCAAACACGTAGCTACCAACACAAATGAACTTTCATGATAGTTTACCTGTAATTGTGGCCATCCAGATGATGAGGTAGCAGTACGTAGTGATCCAGACCATGCACATGAACAGCGCCGGGGCCCACCATCCCCGCCAGCGCTCCCGGCGGCAGTCAGGCACCGTCAGGTACAGGTGCAGGTAGATGGGCAGGCAGACCACCCACCACGCGCGCCGGTCCCACTTCTTAGGCGGGTTTAAGAACGACTCTGGTTCCTCTTCCTCCTCCTCATCCTTACTGTCCTCGTCCTCGTAACCTTCATCTATTGCCGGTTAAAAAAGAGTAACGTTATATTGTACAATTAAACCTGATTTGCCAACAGTCTAACGTCCGTAGTTAGCTCTTATGTATGCTGAAGATTTCGGCTCCTCCTCCTCTGCCTTAGATAGTGTCTTCGTCTTCTTCATCTATTGGGGGTAAAGAAGATGATACACAGTTAGTGTACAGTTAATATTGACCGACTGACTACCTCCAGTACAGGTGCAGGCAGACCACCCACCACGCGCGCCGGTCCCACTTCTTAGGCTCCTCTTACTCCTCCTCATCCTTACTGTCCTCGTCTTCGTATCCCTCATCTATTGCCGGATAAAAAAGAGTAACGTTATATTGTACAATTAAACCTGACTTGGTGGCAGCCTACAGTCCGTAGGTAACTCTTATGCAAGTTGAAGATTTCGGCGCCTCCTCTGCCTTAGATAGTGTCTTCGTCTTCTTCATCTATCGTCGAGTAAAGAAGAGTAACGTTATATTGTACAATTAAACCTGACCTGCCGACAGTCTACAGTCCGTAGACACTCTTAGTCATGCTATTTGAAACATCTGACACTTCAGAGATCTATCCAGTCCTTTGATTTATCCCGTATTCTGCATAGTATTGGTGTTTTTTCAGCCCAAGTGTGTGGGTCTCAGATTCGCAAGCTGTTATCCACCTTAAACAAATCCACGCGAAGGCCGCCGTGTCAACTGTAACCCTCACTCAGGTATAGGGACTGACACCTACTTGGAAAATCTGTATATCTGTACATGAATCTGTATCTGTGCATGAAATCTGTATCTGTACATGAATCTGTATGTACATGAATCTGTATCTGTACATGAATCTGTATCTGTACATGAATCTGTATCTGTGCATGAAATATGTATCTGTACATGAATCTGTATCTGATTGTAAATAAAGATATTGAGTGATTGCCATAGATTGGTGTTTTTTCCGCTCAATCTCACACTCGTGGGGTCTTGTGGCATAGCGGCAGAGTGCTCGACTCGGAACCAAGATGTCCCGGGTTCGAGTCCTGACATGCCACCGATCTTGTGCCCTTGGGAAAGGCACTTAATACGACTGTCCTCACTTCTCTCAGGTGAAAATGAGTATTGTATTGTCCCCTGTGTTGGTGGCGGCATTAATAGAAGTTGATAAACTTGAGTGTGCCGTCACCACGTCTGGTGATTACATATTGGAATATATACAAGGAATCTCACCTTTAGCGTCCAGGAAGGCGTCGCTTGTGACCAGGCTCTTGGTCATGTCCGACTTCTCCTCGTCCTTTTTCCTACAGCAGGGGTCGAACAGGCAGCAGCAGGGGGGGTCGTCGGGTTTGGGGTCCGGGACAAGCTTCCGGAAGCACCGCGCCAGGGTGGCGTTAAAGAACAGGCTGAACACGTACAGCAGGTACACTATTACCATGATGATGGACTCGTCCCTGGAAAAGGAAGAAAAAGACAAGTGGACATGAGTGTACACTGTTTTCTATATCTAGTTCTAATGTTTTAGGTTTCGGGGTGGGGGTCGGGGACAACCTTCCGGAAGCACCGCGCCAGGGTCGCGTTAAAGAACAGGCTGAACACGTACAGCAGGTACACTATCACCATGATGATGGACTCGTCCCTGGAAAAGGAAGAAAAAGACAAGTGGACATGAGTGTACACTGTTTTCTATATCTAGTTCTAATGTTTTAGGTTTCGGGGTGGGGGTCGGGGACAACCTTCCGGAAGCACCGCGCCAGGGTCGCGTTAAAGAACAGGCTGAACACGTACAGCAGGTACACTATGACCATGATGATCGACTCGTCCCTGGAGAGAGATAGGAGAGAAGGTTTTATACATGTGTGTACATGCGACACTGTTTTCTGCATGTCAACAAGCCTGACTACAACACCATCTTGTCGCCTGCTAAAAGAAGCAGATGACTAGAATCTATAGTATCCAGTGCCATGCCTACAGCTGCATGTAGTTCTAATGTTCTAGGTTTTAGATCAGGCACGGTTTTGGATAGGGCTAGTCGTCGAAATGGGCATCTGAAACAACCTTCCGGAATCAGCTGTAAGTAAGTAAGTAGGTAAGTAAGTATTACTAACTAAGTAAGTAAGTAAGACGCTCACCAGTCCGCCTTGCCGTCCATGACGACTATGATGAAGACCACCATGGCTATGTAAGTAAGTAAGTAAGTAAGTAAGTAAGTAAGTAAGTAAGTAAGTAAGTAAGTAAGTAAGTAAGTAAGTAAGTAAGTAAGTAAGTAAGTAGTAAGTAAGTAAGTAAGTAAGTAAGTAAGTAAGTAAGTAAGACGCTCACCAGTCTGCCTTGCCGTCCATGACGACTATGATGAAGACCACCATGGCTATGTAAGTAAGTAAGTAAGTAAGTAAGTAAGTAAGTAAGTAGTAAGTAAGTAAGTAAGTAAGTAAGTAAGTAAGTAAGTAAGTAGTAAGTAAGTAAGTAAGTAAGTAAGTAAGTAAGTAAGTAAGGCTCTCACCAGTCTGCCTTGCCGTCCATGACGACAATGATGAAGACCACCATGGCTATGCCGCCCCACACCGTGTCTCTCGTCACCGTCCACGGCTGGACCATCACATCTTTGCCCTGGAAAGACATGACAGTAAAATGTTACCACAGCAAACAATCGCATGGACACACTGGATACAGGAGTTTTCTTTTGAACAACCAAACGTCTGTGTTTTAATGTAATGCAGCAGTTTATTAATCATATAAATGTTTTTTAACGAAGAAATGTACTTAGGAAGAACTGTTCCAACTACGATACATGTGTGTATACCATTGTAAGAAATACGCAATTCAGCCTTACGCTGTTATGTATTTTAGCGAAGTAAACCATTCTACTAGTACTACTACTACTACAACTACTACTACTACTACAACAACAACTACTACTACTACGCTGCTGCTACTACTGCTACTACTACTACTACTACTACTACTACTACTACTACTACTACTACTACTACTACTACTACTACGCTACTACTAGCACTACTACCATGCTACTACATAAGATTGTCTCCTTACCGCGGGTTTCATCAGACAGCAGAGCCCGATGATCAGTACGTAGTTCGTCACGGCGGTTCCCACCATTGCTCCAACACCCACGTCGTTTTCACTGATGAACACGCCTGGAGAGGGGACATACATATGGTTATGTGTTTGTTTGTTTGCTTGTGCCACCATCGCGCCAACACCCACGTCGTTTTCACTGATGAACACGCCTGGAGAGGGACATACATGTGGTTATGTGTTTGTTTGTTGTTGTGCCACCATCGCGCCAACACCCACGTCGTTTTCACTGATGAACACGCCTGGAGACGGACATACATGTGGTTATGTGTTTGTTTGTTTGTTTGCTTGTGCCACCATCGCGCCAACACCGACGTCGTTTTCACTGATGAACACTCCTGGAGAGGGGACATACATGTGGTTATGATATGAAACTTTATTGCATGTTCATTCCCCGGGGGGATAAATGCACAGAGTACAACGTATTAGAGAGTACTACAACAATAGTGAAAAAGAAGGGCTAACATCGGGTCTAAGGTATACAATGCTAAAAAAGAAATATATATATATATATAAGGTGATACAGATCTAAGGTCTAATGGCTTCTTCTCTCTTTTTGAAACATTTTGAAATATACTTACATACTTCATTGATGACGTCTATACTCTATATTCGTACATGATATGATATATTTAAAAGTGTCTTCCTTTGATAATGTTTTACATTTTTTGTCGAACTTAATTGAACTGAACAGTGATTTACGTTCGTTATCATGTTAGATAGTGTTGTGAGGTGGGAGGACAACTTGTAACGGAGTCTATGCACCTGTTTGTCCTCCCTTCCACCTGTATATTTGTACTAGTGGTAAACTCAAATAAATAAACAAACAAACAAACAAACCAAACTCACCGATGGTAGTTGTAGCGAGTTCAGGCGAGCTGCAGAAGCTTCCGACGATCACCGCGCCGACAATTCCCGGGTCCAGCTGAAATCCTGAGCAACAAACACCACAGAACTTAGTTCATGTACCAAAAAAGTGACATAGATACTTTGTGATGGAAAGGATAAAATAGCAAATCCAGAGACATCATCAAAGACTGTAGAAAATACGATAAAACAGCACAGTTAGGTTCAATAATTGTGTGTGTAGATGCCTATTATTAAAGGGGATGGGAGCATCATTTATTGATATTGTCATTGATATTTTCATTGATATTTACTAATAGGTAGACGCTGATGTAGTTAAGAGCAACAATTATCTCAATTAGAAATCATAGATATTTAATTTTACACGTTCATAGACATCGTCGAGTAGTTTGAATTTAGTTTCCCTTGACTGTTTTGTAGTTCTTTAAAAAGCCGGTATAACATCATTTTTGTTGTTACTTACTTTCTGTGCAGACGTATATCGCAGGCATGAAGTAATCCTCGCAGACGATGGCGGTGGCAAGGAACAGGTACAGCCCAAAAAACACATGCAGTATGACCGCACCCTTAGCGCGCTGTTCTTCTGTAAACAAGTCCTGAAAAAACATTACAACACATTACAACAGGAACAGGAATAGGTACAGCTTCTGTAAAAAAGGTCCTGAAACGAACACATTACAACACGTTACAACACATAACAACACGTTACAACACGTTACAACACGTTACAACACATCACAACAGGAACAGGTACAACACAAAAAAACACGTGCAGTATCACCGCACCCTGAGCGCGCTGTTCTTCTGTAAACACGTCCTGAAATAAACACGTTACAACACATTACAACACATTACAACACGTTACAACACGTTACAACACGGCTACAACACGTTACAACACGCTACAACACGTTTACGACACGTTACAACAGGAACAGGTACAACACAAAAAACACGTGCAGTATGACCGCACCCTGAGCGCGCTGTTCTTCTGTAAACACGTCCTGAAATAAACACATTACAACACATTACAACACATTACAACACGTTACAACACGTTACAACACGTTACAACAGGAACAGGTACAGCCCAAAAAACACGTGCAGTATCACCGCACCCTGAGCGCGCTGTTCTTCTGTAAACACGTCCTGAAAAAAACATATTACAACATATTACAACACGTTACAACACATTACAATACATTACAACACATTACAACAGGAACAGGTACAGCACAAAAAACACGTGCAGTATCACCGCACCTTTAGCGCGCTGTTCTTCTGTAAACACGTCCTGAAAAAAAACATATTACAACATATTACAACACGTTACAACACGTTACAACACGTTACAACACGTTACAACAGGAACAGGTACAGCACAAAAAACACGTGCAGTATCACCGCACCCTGAGCGCGCTGTTCTTCTGTAAACACGTCCTGAAAAAAAACATATTACAACATATTACAACACGTTACAACACGTTACAACACGTTACAACAGGAACAGGTACAGAATAAAAAGCACGTGCAGTATCACCGCACCCTGAGCGCGCTGTTCTTCTGTAAACAGGTCCTGAAATAAACACATTCAAACAATGTTTACGATATAATGCAGCTACATATATATATGTGTGTGTGTGTGCGTGTGTGTGTGTGTGTGTGTGTGTGTGTGTGTGTGTGTGTGTCTGTGTGCGTGCGTGCGTGTGTGTGTGTGTGTGTGTGCGTGTGTGTGTATGTATATGTATATGGCGTGTATAGAAATCTAAGCTAAAACCGTTTCTCACCTTTTAGGGTGAAGTAAAGATGCAAGTGAACTTGATGGCTTACAGTTACACGTGAGAGAACTGTCGTACATGTTGTACCTACACATGTACATTGAGTCGCCCCTACACGTTTTGTATATATGTATTGTATATATATATGTTCTACTAACACACTAAATGCACTGTCTTGTCTCTTGCACCCACAGATTCAGTTATTTACGTTCCTTAGTGTCCCCTCCTTCAGTTACCCTTGTTTCTATTTGTACCGGTCACCTGTTTTGTAACTAACACATTGCAGCTGCTAGTAATGCGATGCAGTCGGACTAAGCAGTACATAAGATGATGATAAGACACGTACCTTTGGGTACTGGTTAATAGCGTTCCTGGACACCTTCCTGGTGCAGTTTTGTGTTTTCTGTGAGCTGGTGACGTCACGGGAGTACCGGCTCAGCTCATCTGTAGGGTAGGGATGGAAGAAGACTCCAATCAATCAATCAATAAATCGATCAATAAATCGATCAACTAATCAATTTAATGATAAAATCTCTTTTTTTCATTTTCTTTCATCGTGCAGATAATAGAGATGCCATCACTAGGCTTGTCTGAGTAACTGTTTTTGTGTATGTAATTGTGATCTTATGTGAATTTGGTGCGGAAAAGAGTCGTGTGGTATTTGTCGGAAATGCGAACGTTGAATGATGTGAACGATCCATAACTGCTCAAACATCTGAAAAGTGGAGCGGAACGAATTTTGATTGACAGAAAACTGGGCGTTGACCGCTTCAAATTTCTCACGCAGAGACACGATTCGGGTGACAGTCAGCAAATAGGACAGGGACACGTATAGAGATGCTGAAGTGGTGACGCTTTTGTATCCAGAACCGGGTTTTATCCAAAACGGTTCTGGATACTAGTAGTCCACGCGAATCCAGAACCGCCTGGGGCAAATCTACGTTCTTAGCACAGTCGAAGGCTTCCAAGAACCGAGCCTGATCCTAATCCTGACCCATCCAGGCATAAAACTAGATGAGCGCGGTTCTGGATATTCCCAGGCGTATCCAGAACCGTGCCTGGGGAAAATCTATGTTCTAGGGTGTGTGGAGACTATCCAGAACTGTACCTAATCCTAACTCTGACCCATTCAAGCATAAAACTAGATGATCAGGGTTCTGGATAGTCCACGCGTATCCAGAACCGTGCCGTGGAAAATCTACGTTCCTGGATATGCGGAGACAATCCAGAACCGTGCCTGATCTTAACACATTCAGGAATAGAACAAGATATAGGCTCGGATAAAAATGGTGCATTCTGAAATTTTTCAGAGGATATTTGATAGGAGTTTTTCAAAGTACTGATTTTTTAAAATTTTTTAAATCCTATTCTGTAAAGTAGTGAACAGTTTTTACTTCCTAAGATTATCATCTGTCAGACAACATCACCCTCCTACCTACTTAAGTGCTCGTTTAATTACAGGGAGGATCTGCTTAGTCTAAACTGATGATGGTTTTAGGAACTCAAAATACCTCCTGCAGTTTTTTGCACAGTTCACAAACACCAGGAATAAGAAATAATGATGTACATTGTTAGATAGAAAGATGTTACGCATTCCATTCGCATGCAGGTTTGTTCTCAAAAATATATCCGTCTTAATTTGACTTGCTTGACCTTTAGATTTGGGTCCTATGATTTACATAATTGGTCTATAATGAGTGTAACACTATAGATGACGCACGGTGGAATGCGTTGTCTGTTAAGGCTGACGTGGCCTATAGGGGATACCACAATTACACAATGCCCCCCCCCCATCCGAATAAGGACAGTCGTTACATTTTCAATCAAATTCAACTTTTCAAGCCGACATTTACTGAGTGTGTGCAGTTTTTTGTGTACATTTTGCTACAAAATGTTTGAAATGAAGTTTATTATTGTTTGAAATTATAGTAAAAGTAGTTCATTAAGGAAAAGCTTTTTTGTACGTCCGCGAACTGAACCGAATAAAACAGTCGTTAGCTTTTCACTCAAATTCAACTTTTCGAGCCGATACTCACTAAATACGTGTTGTTCTGCTCGTATCTTTTACAAAAAAGATGTTTGAAACGATATTTACTGTTTCAACATGTATTAAAAGTACGGCTCGTCTACATACAGCGCGGAAAAAAACTGAACCAACATGTTGAAAAAAAGCAACATTTGTGCTTGTGTCAAACATTATGGCAGTAGACAGTGGCATTATGGCAGTAGAAATACAGCGACAACGGGATTTAATTATTTATAAAAGCTTGGCACATCACTTCGGCGAAATGGTCTAAAATGTATGACTCTTGTCCAACTATAAATCTATATATACTCGTTTCATCAGGTCGGTAAACTAGTTCAGCACCCAACCTTATTTTTCTGGAAAAAAGTGGTATAAATGGTAAAATTTGGCTCAAAAAAAATTAGTAAAGAGGATAAAATTTAGCCGACAAGGGAGAACAGTTTGCCAGGATAGTTTGACAGCCATTTGGCACAATCTCCTGTCCCATTTTAACCCTATTGCTGCAGTAGGAAAGCCTGGCCATGGTGGAGGCTACACAACATTTGTAAGTGGCTACATCCGCCGCACAAGGCTACACATGTGGCCGATTTTTGGTTACATTTGTATCTTAGTAAGCCTTGACACACCAGCAGTTGTAGCGTTTTGATCGAGACACAAACATGTCCGCAAAGAAGATTGAATATTCGATGATGTAGTCAGTTTCGTAGAAAAAAGGAGCGATTCTTACCTGATTGAAGCTGTTGACTGTCCGGCATGGAGTCGGTAAATAGGACACTGACTCCAAACACGAGCAGGTTGAACCCCAACCACACGGCAAGCCTCAATCCGAGGTGAAGATTCCGTCTCTTTCTTCTGCCAGCGACTTCCATGACTCACAACATTCAGTTGTAACGAGGAAAAAAAGAAGGATTTGGCGATCAGTTCGTCGGTTTTGTGAACCTAGTTGTCTGTCTGACGGGTCCCACCTTCTCGGGCGTGTTTCTGAACAAACGACAACTCTTCCCGTTTCTAGTCCTGTCACTAAGACGTCCTTCCTGCCTGTACTGTTGTCGTCTTTCTTCTCACAACGACTTCCATGCCGTTTGACGTCCAGTTGTAACCAAAAAAAAGAAGGATTCTGCGATCTGTTCGTCAGTTTGGTGTGTATCTAGTTGTCTTTCTGACGGGTCCCGCCTTCTGGCGTATTCCCAAACCACCGACAACTCTACTTCCCTCCTCCGATCCTGTCAAAACGAAGTCATCCTTGCTTGTTCCAGTGTTGTACACATGTGCTCTTCTGGTGATCTTGGACCGCAGAACTAGCGACTCCGACTTGGCACCTCCCTGACTGGTTGTGAGCCAGTCTAGTGGCAGAATGTGTGTGTAGGGAGTATGAGTGTGTCTTCCGCACAAGACAAACCGGCCAAACCGGCTTTCGCACGGCTCATCTACATAAATCATGATACAGTGCAAAAAAAGGACCGAATAAAGTACAGTTGCTACATTTTAACTCAATTTCAACTTTTCAAACCGACATTTACTGAATGTGTGTAGTTTTTCTGGTACATTTTGTTACAAAATGTTTGAAATGAAGTTTATTGTTTGAGATTATAGTAAAAGTAGGTCAAGGAAAAGCTTTTTTGTACCTCCGAAAACTGAACCAAATAAAACAGTCGTTACATTTTCAGTCAAATTAAACTTTTCGAGCCGATACTCACTGAATGTGCGTAGTTTTTATGGCACATTTTGTCACAAAATGATCGAAACGATGTTGACGGTTTTAAAATGTAGTAAAAGTAGGTCAACAGAAGGCTACCTGTATCTGTACGGGTGAGTAACACACAATCTTCGCATTCACGCGGTGCGGCGGCTAGTTATATTACACTAAAGGACCATTATGCATTTGTATACCCGTACTTAGCCCTATATGGTGTATAATGTGCAATAAATGTACAATAAATATTGTTACGAGTTAGAAGATTTTCCATAGAGTGTGGGGAGTGCATAAGAAAACAGTTACTAAACAGATTTTAAAGCCCTGATTTTTTCACCGTTTTCGTTTGATTTTTGGTCAACGCTGCATCAGAATTTTGCCTCTTGCAGACGATATTTTTTTCCGACATTATAGTTGGAAACTACAGTCGGGATGTTAACTTTTAGTAGATACTCGAATACGACCTTATATGAGACGTTCTGCCGAAGTGCTATGCACAATACATTACGGGTTTTGCGCAGGTGCAGTACGTTCTGCTGACGTGTTGTGAGCAGGTGTTCATCATCATCATCAATCATCCTCCGTAGAGCTCTAGGGGTGGAGCAGACAAAGTTTGATCTCCAGAACTGCTTGTCATTCATTGCTGTTCAGGCCCTCCAAGCCTGTTTCAGTTTCTATAAGTTTCTTAAGTGTTATGTTTGGACGTTCAATTCTGTCAGGGTTCCAAAGTAGTTCTTCACTACGTACAACATGGCCGGCCAAGCTTAGTCGTCGACATTTAACTACTGTAGTGACATTTGGTAACGATCCGTATAACTGTTCATTAGTAGTATGTTTCCACCATGGTTAATGTGGCCTTTAAGAATGATTATCCTTCCAGGTGTTGGCGTTTTTTTTTAGGAATTTGTGTAGAACCTCAGGTGAAAGGATTATTCTGGATAGTAACTATTGTTTGTGTCCAAACTGGGGAATTGAATTTATCGTAACTACGGAAACACAAGCAAACACACAGATTACCCACACCAAAAACCAAACATTCGAAAACGCAAGCATTTTATTTTATATAACAAATGCTAACTAAGGCCACAGCAAGTAATTTTTATGGATGACATCAGCGCGCGCATTAATTTTCGCCTGATTTTGGAAAAAAAAAACAAGAAATTTTGTTGCCTTCTGACAGTGGTCAACATGCCGAAATGGGCAAAGATGTCTGTTGCCATGCCAGAAGGTGGATGGCAGATAACTATGTGAGAGATCGAGACAAGAAAAGGCTCTGATTTAATGTTTTGTTTCTTACTTTGATGTAGTGATATGTGATGCTGGCTGTGTATATGTGATGTTCCTACTGAATCAAAACCATTTGTACAATGATTGAGTCAAAATTTCAAATTGTAGGAACCTTGTTTTTTTCGGCCCGCCTTGTTTTTTTCCCGCCAGCTCGCATTAGATTTGGAATCTGTGGAGGATGCCATCCATGAAATTTAAATGCTGTGGCCTAAGGTACCGTCCAGTCGCTCTCAGTCAAAGCCCGGTAGAGGCTACAAACACAACAGTTGCCTTATGATCATGATGCCCTGGCATGTTATCTGTCCATGTTATTTGAACAACCTGTTATTCCAGATTTTTTCGCTGTACTGTTATGTTCACTGTTTTCACTGTCACTTCTGTACCGTGAACTTATCATTACAGTTAACACATAATTCCAGGACTTTCTTTGTCCTGCACCTGTCGCCACAGTGAATATATAGTTCCGTGAACATGTCCACTTTTTTCAGACCGTGAACTTTTGCTACCGTGAACATAAAGTGAATTACTGTAGCAGTACTCTTTCCAGCCGCTCCCGAAGCCTGGTAGAGGCTACAGATACAGTTGTCTCATGATGGCGGTTGAATGTCGCACTCAGGAAAAACGGCCACAGTCCCGGCAAAATATTCTTCTGTAAAAACAGCGAACACGATGAACGCGACGTAAACCACCAGGCACGCGGCACCGAACGCGCGGCGAAACTGCCACCCGCTCAGGCACACTCCCGCGCGCGAACGCGATGGTCAGAGAAAGATGAAGTGGGTGGAAACTACTCACTCTACTCCTTTAGCGGCCGACTGGCCTGGCATGTTATCTGTCGGTTTGTCTGTGTTATTTGGCCAATTTCTACTTTTTCCAGCCGCTCACGAGGCCTGGTAGAGGCTACAAATACACACAAATAGAACAGTTTGCCTCATGATGGAAGCCTTATGGAGGCTACAAATACAACAGTTGCCTCATGATCATGACGGCAGTTGAATGTCGCACTCAGGAAACACGGCCACGGTTCCGGCAAAATATTCTTCTGTAAAAACAGCAAACACGATGAACGCCAGTACCTTAGGCCACACCAGGCACCTTAGGCCACACCAGGCACCAGGCACCTTAGGCCACACCAGGCACGCGGCGCCGAACGCACGGCGAAACTGCCACCCGCTCAGGCACACTCCCGCGCGCGAACGCGATGGTCAGAGAAAGATCACGTAAAGCGGCTGGAAACAACTCGTTCTACTCCTTTAGCGGACCAACTGCCCTGGCATGTTAGCTGTCCGTGTTATTTGGCCAACTTCTACTCTTTCCAGCCGCTTTCAAAGCCTGGTAGAAGCTACACAATACAGTTGCCTCATGATGGCGGCTGGACGTCACACTCAAGGCGGCTGGACGTCACATTCAGGAAAAACGGCCACAGTCCCGGCAAAATATTCTTCTGTAAAAACAGCGAACACGATGAACGCGACGTAGACCACCAGGCAAGCGGCGCCGAACGCGCGGCGAAACTGCCACCCACTCAGGCACACTCCGGCGAACGCGAACGCGATGGTGAGGAAGATGCAGCTCAGCGTGAGGCTGAGTCCCGCTGTCTGCACGAAGACGACGCCAAAGTGGTCCAGGAAGACGGTCTTGACGAACCAGGGCAGCCCCAGGCACACCAGGATGTCGAAGATGATGGCTCCTATCGTCGCGCTGATCGCCATGTCACCCTCTCCTGGAAAACACAAGGAATCGGAGATTTTAGACTTCCAGGAAGTGTCTTTGTTTGTTATTTTGTAGCTGATCGCCATGTCAGAATCTCCTGGAAAATAGAAAAGAAATCAGAGATTTGATCAGACCTCCAGGGAGTGTTTTTTTTGTGTGTGTGAGCTGCTCGCCATCTCCTGGAAAATAAAAGGAACGGGCGAATTAAGACTTCCAGGAAGACGGTCTTGACGAACCAGGGCAGCCCCAGGCACACCAGGATGTCGAAGATGATGGCTCCTATGGTCGCGCTGATCGCCATGTCACCCTCTCCTGGAAAATACAAGAAATCGGAGATTTTAAACTCCAGGGTAGTGCTTTTAGTGTGTGTGTGAATGCAGTAAACTGAACATAGAACCATGGTCAGGCGCGGTCCTGGATAGTCCACGCGTCTCCAGAACAGTGCCTGGGCCAAATCTACGTTCTTGGTTACGCGGAGTCTATCCAGAACAGTACCTGATCCTAGCCCTAACACATTCAGACATAGAACTAGATAAGCACAAGGCTACGGAGAGGCTTATAGCTTTGGTCCTTTCCAAGAAAGAGGCTCACCTGCCCATGTAGCCACCAGATTACACAGAACACAACCTCCACACGGAGGTAACACTCACCTGCCCAAGTCGCCACCACACACGCCACGAGGTCTGGTACGCTGGTCCCGGCTCCCAGCAGCGTGATTCCCATCAGCGTGTCCGAGGCGCCCATCGTGAAACCTGAGGGGAACAGACGGGAAACCGGTAGGTCTTATACGCCGAAAAAAACCTCCGTACATGGAAGCAAAAACATGTTTGCTATTGCCAGCAGCGTTATTCCCATCAGCGTGTTTGACGTGCCCATCGTAAAACCTTGGAACAGAAACAGCATGGCATGTTAGTAAAAACGTTCAACTTTATTCCAACACAGTTTACAGAGATCAAATTTTCAGCGACCACTGTCGCCTTCATCAGGATGAAAGATTGATATCTGTAAACTATGTGTTGGAATAAAGTTTAACGTTTTTATTATGATTACTACCAATGGCATGTTGGCCCTGGCGCAGGGGACCTAAAATGTATACTGGCACCCAGGCCAGACTCCGCTGCGTCCTTAGTCACAATCTCATAGTCTACATCCTTGTACAAATCATGATGTTCTTACCAATAACTGTGACCGATTGCAGACTTCTGAGTCCAAAATGGGAAGATTTTGCATACCTATGACAGTGACCATCCAGATGAGTAGGTAAGAGAACACAGTGGACCAGACCATGGACATGAAGAACGTCAGAAGAAACCAGTTTCTCCAGCGCCTCCTGCGGCAGCTGACGGTATTGCAGCCTTATTTAAGCCTTATAGAAACAAAGTTTTCACATACCTACATAACAAAATAGAAATTTCTTACCTATTACAGTGACCATCCAGATGAGTAGGTAAGAGAAGACAGTAGACCAGACCATGGACATGAAGAAGGTGAGCAGGAACCAGTTTCCCCAGCGCCCCCTGCGGCAGCTGGCGGTATTGCAGCCTTATTTAAGGTTTGCTACATATAATCCTTGAAACAGAATAGCAAGTTGTTACCTATCACTGTGACCATCCAGATGAGTAGGTATGAGAAGACAGTGGACCAGACCATGGACATGAAGAACGTCAGAAGGAACCAGTTTTTCCACCTCTTCCGGCGGCAGTCCGGCACAGTCAGGTACATCGGTATAGTCAGGGGCAGGGACACCGCCCATAGGAGCCGACTAGCGGTGGACTCCGGTACTGCAAGGACCGAGTCAGGTTCCTCTTCTTCATCTTCCTGTTCCTCACGACTGTCGGGATCTTTTCCATCTGCCGAGATAAAGATGTACAGGTTATTGTCAGGTATACGTAAGGGACACCGCCCAGAGGAGACGTCTAGCGGTGGACTCCGGAACTGCAAGGACAGAGTCAGGCTCCTCCTCTTAATCTTCCTGTTCCTCACGACTGTCGGGATCTTTTTCATCTGCCGAGATAAAGGTAATTATGAAGTTTTCATAATGGCTTTATTTGCAGGGTCTTGCCGAGGGTTATTTGCAACACGAAATAATTATACAAGGAACATACAGACAGTGCAAGTTAACAATGGTGTATAGTGGAACAATTCGCAAGTGGGTATTGTAGGAACCGCTACGGAATACAATCTCGGCTTTTGGGGGGTTTGACTTTTTTTATGACTAATAATAACTGCATGTGCCAAATTTCAAACCTCATAGTCTACGAATGTCTATTTTCACCTTACTCTATCTTAACACTCGTAAAAGAGAGGAGTTCAGAAATGAGAAAGAAAGATACATAGTATCATTCATGCCTGTAGCGGGGGGGGGGGGGGGGTCGGGGG